CACTGGGAAACTGCAAAGAGGCCACCACAGCTCTCTCCAAATGAAGGCAACTCTGACAGAAAAATAAGATAAAATGGGGCTGCTGCCTCAGCCAACCCCAGGCTCGGTCGGGCTGGCACTTCCCAGCCACATAACCCCTAAAAGAACGGAAACCACCAATACTGGACAAATGCTTATCTCTCTCTTTAAGTCAGTGAATAACTGAAAATGGGAAAAGAGGGTACAAATCATAAAAGTTCCCATCTGAGTACTGAGATTAAATATTTCTGTATAAAGTTTGGAAGTTCTCTCATTAGTTAAAGAGGATGTTCTATATTGATGCAGAATGAGCAGTAAATAAAAAGGAGAAAATCTGAAATCAGAAAAGACTGAGAAAGTAGAAAACTTTATTATCAAGTTTCAGAGAAATCAGTGAACTAGAATCCAAGCCCCAAGCAATCCTTCCAGAACCTGGGGGGGAAAGTATAAAAAGGGGGGAAAAAGATAAGAGCTGTGAAGAGTTAATCCAGGAGATCCACTGTATGTACAATAAAACTGACAAGAGTCAGTTTCGAAGAGATAAATACGTAGCATTAATATATTGGAGAAATTGAAAATATTTGCTAGATTAACCTGGAGACTAGATTTTTAAGAGACCAGTTATACAAACTATTAGAAAGACTCAATAATAGAATATTTTTAAAAAGCAAAATATACAAAATTACCAATAAGATTTACAAAATTTATATGCAAAATCTACTACAGATTTGACAGACAGGTAATTTGTTTAAACATCCTTAATATACCCCTGGCTGGTGTGGCTCAGTTGTTTGGGCAACATCACATGCACCAAAAGGTCGCTGGTTCGATTTCCGATCAGGGTACATGCCCGGGTTGTAGGCTTGGTCCCCAGCAGGAGGCAGTCAATCGATGTTTCTCTTTCTCTCTCTGTCTCCCTTACTCTCTCTCTAAAAATCAATTAAAATTCAATTGATTCAGCCAGTGTGACTCAGTGGTTGAGCGTCAACCCATGCACTAAAAATCAATTAAAATTCAAGTCCTTAATATATATCTGATAATATATTTGCTATTTATAGAGAAAATATAAATTATATTTTCTATGAGTAAGAGCCTAGAGTCCCTCCCATAGACTAGAGAAGACAGTAATGTTCACCATTGTAGTTTAACCATGGATCTTTAATTAGGTCAAGGATCATATGATACAAGGGAAGTAAAAGTCCACAAATATTTTTCTGTCTGGGGTTAGGTTAGAAGATACAGAATAAGAGAGAGAGAAGGGAGTGATGTGGTCATGTGGTGACTCCGGAGTTCTCTCTCCAAGCTTTGTCATTTAAAGGGACAGAGTGATATGAATTGACTCCATCATGAGGGTTGAGGTGCTTGTTCCCTGTCCCAGTATTTGGGATTCTAAGAGGAAGCCATACAGGAGGCTCCATACCAACATCTGACTGTCAGGTAAAATTGACATAGACAGAGCTTCTAAGGTCTTTTATTAAATCTAAATCCCTTTGAACTGAAAGACACAATTTAAAAAGATGCTGTGATATGCTTGTAAGATATAGTTCAACTTCGGGGATGATATAATGTGGGAAAAATGCATAAATTAGAATCAACAAAATCTGACAGCACTACTAAACTGTCATAGCAGGTCACGTGTTAATCTTCGCAACATCTGTCTTTAGGTCAGCATTTGGCGTGTGGTAGGTGTTCAATAAATGTTGAAGGAAAAGGGAAAGAGGGAGAAAAGAAGAAGGAAGGGCAAGAAGGAGGGAGGAAGGAAGGAAAAAAGGAAACAGAGAAGGAAAGAAAGAAAGAAGGCTTGGCTTATCCAATATCTGAATGCAGTCCTCAGAATGATATGTAACCTTTTTTCCTTTCATTCTTTTAAATTCCAAATTTTGTTCATATTCTCAAACATTTCTTCTCTAACGAGCTCAGACATAACCACAAGTTCTTCCTGCAGGGGATTTCAGCTTGCCCCATTATCTTAAATCATCCGAGATTCTGTATTTATTTTCCTCACTTCCAATTTTGCCCTTTCTCCTGTCCAAAGCATTCCTCAAAGTTGTTGTTGTTGCTGTTTTGTCCCTACTGTTCTGGGGGACATTTAAGACAGGTGAAACACAGAAGAACCACTAACTACAAGGAAGATATCTAAGAGGAGACTGCACTTGAGCTGAGGCTTAAAGCATAAAAGGAATATACCAGTCAGCAGAGTAAGGCAGATAGAGGCATAGTGGTCTCTCAGATGAACTCAGCGTGCCTTGTCAACAACTCAAGATGCTTAACACAATATCTAAACTTCTGATTGCTCAAAAATATAGCTTTTCACAATTTTACATTGCAATTTATGTTTCCTGCGCATAAATGCACAGCACATTTTCTTCTCACAGCTAGGCTATTATTTCTGAAGCCAAGCTAGACAAGATTTCTGAAGCCACGGTCCAGGTGATTGAAAAGGTGCATGTTTATAGCTATTTATATCAGCAGTTGCCTTGACCCAAAGGACTTGGAAATATTTCTACTCTTGGAAAACAACAGTCTCTGCTTTTCCTTTTGTCTCGCTGGCTTCTCCTTCCTGGTCTCTTTAACTGGCAACATCTCTTCCAGATAACTGAAAATTGGAGGACTCCCAGAATTCCTTCCCTAGCCCTCTTTTCTATTTTTTGTGTTTTATTTTTTATTTAATTTTTAAATTTTGAAATATAGATACATTCAAAAGAATATACACAACCATTTTTATAAGCTGTAAAGCATAATAGTAAAATCAACCCATCCAGAACCAGGAGGATTAAGTTGGGGCAAATGGGGCATTCATTTTGGGTGCAAAACTGAAGAGGCACAAAGAAAACAGGACAATTTTCGATCAAGACGGGAACTGACCACCTACTTCCACACTTCCTCGCCCTAGTCCCAGCGCCCTGTTTCCAATATAATTGTGTTCAGAAAACAGGTGGCTGGCCTGAGTGCAGTGATTTGCCAATTTGATTTTTTAAGTAAGTATAGTACTGAACTATGATTTATCTTGATGCTGAGTTTTTTGACATCCCTTACATTAGCGCCTGCGGCCGGTGCTTCACTAAACCGCTGCTTTTTCTCAGCCCTGTCCACTGCCCAATTCATGAAATGAAAGATGTCTGTTTTTGCTGGCTGATAAACTTTATAAAACTGCAATGTAAACTTGATATCTTCTAAGCTACGGTTTTTCTTCACTTGATCCTGTGCCTTGAAGAGTCCTCTAGGCTTGTGTGAGCAGCTATAGTTCATCCATCTTCATGGTTATCCAGAATGCTTTCATAGGATGACATTTTGACTTATCAGCCCGTTTTCCTACTGACAGATGCATGGGTTGTTTCCAGATACTCGTTACAAACCTTGCTTCCGTGAACCAACTTGTACCTGTATGCTGTGCACAATTGGAGAGGTTGTCTAGGCCCCAGTCTACTCCTGGAAAGAGAACTATTGAGTTACAGGCTGGGAAAGCTGGGATTTACTAGACAATGCCATATTGTGGTCCAAAGTGCTTGTACCGATATTCACCACCAGCAGCAAGGGTTTCTGGTGCTCCTCAGGCCCAAGAGAATACTTTTTACAACTGTTTAATTTTTGTTAATCTAGTGGGTGTGAAGTGATATCTCACTTATATTTTCATTTGTACTTCCATGATTAATAATAAGATTGAACGTGTTTTTGTATGCTTATTGAATATTCATATTTCCTCTTTAAAATATCTGCTCATGCCCTGGCCGGTTTGGCTTAGCGGTTAGAGCATCGGCCTGCGGTCCAGAGAGACCCAAGTTCGGTTCCCGCTAAGGGCGCGTACCTCGGTTGCAGTTTGTCCCCGGTCCTGGTTGGTCGTGTGGTGGCAGCCACTCGATGCGTCCCTTTCACGTTGATGTTTCTCTCTCTCTTCCTCTCTCTCCCTCCACTCTATCTGAACAAAAAATGAAAAAATGTCCTTGGGTGAGGATAAAAATATATATATATATATATGCTCATGTTTTTTGCCATATAATATAATATAACAAATATAACATAGGTACAATAATATGTAGATAGAATATATTTATTTGTTGGTCTTTTTCTTAATTTTTTCAGAAATTATATATTCTGAATATCAATATTTTTTGTATGTATCCCAATGTCTCCTCTAGTTTTTCAGCTTGGTTTTTTATTCTCTTTATAATATCTTTTCATTTACAAAAAATTCTTAATTTTAATGTAGTCACATTTATCATCTTTATCTTTTTTGTTAGTACTTTTTGTTTCTTGCTTAAGAAATAACTTCCTGCTCAGTTGTCATGAAGGTAATTTGCTATATTTTCTTCAAATAGTATTAAAGTTTCACCTTTTACAGGTAGGGCTTTAATAAACCTGGAATTGATGTTTGGATATTGTGTGAGGTAGGGATCTGATTTCGGTGTCTTCCATGTGGATAGCCTATTGCTTCAGAAACATTTCCTAAAAAGTCATTCTGTTGCCACTGACTGACCACGCCTCATCTTTCATGGATCAACACACATGTAGGTTGATTTCTGTTTCATTGGTCAGTTTGCTTCCCTTTGTGCCAGGGCCACGTGGTCTTCTTTGGTATAGTTTTCAAATAAATCTTGATATCTAGTTGGTCACATCTCCTAACCCAGTTCTTTCTAAAGAAAATCCTGGCTATTTGTCCCTTTTAGAACCAATTCATCAAGTTCCATTGAGAAACTTTGGGGGTATATAACTGATATACATTGAATCAGTTGGGTAAGGATTGGCATCATTCAAATATTTGTCTTCATTAAATTAAACGTGGTGTACTCCTCCCTTTATTTGGTACTTTCCTATAGGTGGGTTAAATGGTGACTCCCCCCCCTCCCCAAAGGTATGTCCATGTTCTAACCCCTGGAACCTGTGAATGTGACCTTATTTGAAAAAAGAGGATCTCAAGGATGTAAGTAAGGATCTCAAGATGCTCTCACCCTGGATAGTCCAAGTGGGCCTTACTTCTAACGGCAATGCCGTACGAGACAGAAGAGAAGACACAGAGAAGGTCATGCGAAGGTGGAAGCAGAAATCAGAGCTATGCAGCCACAAGCCGAGAACACCTGCAGCTGCCATAATGATCTTGCACATCATTTGTTATATTTATTCACAAATTCCTTATTTTTATTGTTATTGTAAACGGCATCTTTTAGAATTTATGTTTGTTAGTGTTTTATTGATGATATTCAAGAAGGCAGTTAATTTTTGGACACTTGTTTCCAGAAACTTTAAAAAAAAAAATTGCTTAATGAACATATGTCAACATCTTATCACTTGCAAGGGGGAAAAAAAGCTCTTTGTAGGTCAATTAAAAAATTTCTCCCTGGTAGAAAATTTTTCTGGAAAATGGGAATGGAGTAGATGCTGAAAGAACAGTCTGGTTGAAGGTCACTAGACTCTTGACTGGCAGTCAGCGGATGGTCCACCGTGTGTATCACTAATTACCTACAAGTCTTTATTCCATGAAAATTCCTTAGAAATTGGCATCAGGATGTATTAGAAATGTTATTTTTTCCCAGAAGGAGCATATGAATTATAGCCTACAAAAGGATTATGTCCCAGACTATTTTTTCTTTTATGCAGATATTCCAACTTCTACTCTCTTTCATCTCTCATTTTCTCAACCTGCAACCCTATTTTTAAAGTACAATGATAAACTTAATCATGCTAGCCCTAATCACTAGTAAAAACTCCATTATTCTTGGATAGAAGCCAAAATCCTTAAATGGATGGCCCATAAGGCCATGCGGGGCTTGCCCCCCTCTCATCACTCTTACCCCAGTGCTCTGGGCTACAGTCACATTGGTTTTCCCTTAGCTTTTGAGAACCAAAATACTTCCATATCTTATCAAGGCAAGTGCTTCTAAAAGCTATTTTCTGTGCCTGAACTCCTCTTTCCCCATCTCTCTTCTGGCCAACTTCTCACCATTCTTCACAGTTCAGCTGAGTCTTCCCTGATTCTTCAATATAAATAATAAATTAAGATCTCCCTTTACTGTCTCTTTTTTTTTTTTTTTCTTTTTTTTAATCCTCACCTGAGGACATTTTTTCATATTTTGTTCAGATAGAGTGGGAGGGAGAGAGAGAGAGAAACATCGACATGAAAGGGACACATCGAGTGGCTGCCACCCGCACAACCCAACCAGGGCCGGGGACAAACCACAACCGAGGTACGTGCCCTTAGCGGGAACCGAACCTGGGTCTCTCTGGACCGCAGGCTGACTTTCTAACCACTGAGCCAAACCAGCCAGGGCCCTTTACTGTTTCTTTGAACTCCCAGTATGTCTCCCTCCAAACACGCATGGATTTTTTTCCCTATTAATACTTTAAATTTATTTTTTAATTTATATTCACTAAAATTCACAAATGCATAATCTCGTAACCACTACCACAAACATGATACAGAACAGTTAGATCATCCTCAAGCATTTCCTCGTACTATCCTTTTGTAGTCAGTCCTTCCCCTCCCCTTCAACCTCTGGCAAACACTATAGATTTTCCTTTTCCACTATGCTATGTAAATGTCATTTAAAAACAGCATGGGACTTCCGGTCAAGATGACGACGTAGGTAAACGCGGTATCGCGTCCTCCCACAACCACATCAAAGTTACAACTAAACTACAGAACAACCATCATTCAAAACCGCCTGAAATCAAGCTGAATGGAAGTCGTACAACTACGGAACTAAGAAAAAAAAAGCAGCTACATCCAGACCTGTAGGACAAGCAGCGGCGCGAGTGGGGGCAGCGGCGCGGTGGCGGCGGCACAGCGGCGAGACGGGCTGGTCCCACACCCACGGGTGGCGGATAAAAATCAGGAGGCTCCCGAGGCTGGGAAGGTCCTTCCTGAGGACTGAGGGGTCCCCGTCCCACACCAGGTGCCCCGTTCAGGGTTCCAGTGCCAGGAAGAGAATCCCCATAACTTCTGGCTGGAAAAACCAGCGGGAACTGAGGTTCAGGGAAGCTGAAGCGGCTGGAGCCCCAGGCAGCTCCTTAAAGGGCCCGCGCACGGACTTATTGGACTCTCTCCCTCTAAGCTCGGAGGGGAGGCAGCTCGAGGGGCACCAGAGACACACAGGGAAGAACTGAGCTGTTTGGCACTGGAGCGAGGGCTGGAGAGGGGGCTTCCTCGGGGACAAACGTGCTGTAAGAGGCCTTTGTTCCTCTGGTGAGCCCTTCCCGGGGCGGCAGACAGAAGCCATATCTGGGACTCCAGCAACCTGGCTCACACTGGTAGCCCCGCCCTGCTGACTCCCTGAGGCCCCGCCCCACACAACTTTCAAGTCCACCCAAGCTGTTGCCACTTGCTTAACCATAGGATTGGCCGGTCTTGGATCCTGCTTCAGGTTTTTCCTAAATTCTTTCAAACGAGCAGCACCGGGTCTCAGCGAGCCCCATACCTCTCATTAAGTAATACACAGAAACAAACACAGCGAGGCAGCCAAAATGAGGATACAAAGAAACAGGTCCCAAATGAAAGAACAGAACAAAACTCCAATAAAAGAACTAAGCGAAAGGGAGATAAGCAACCTAACAGATACTGAGTTCAAAATACTGCTTATAAGGATATTCAATGAACTTAGTGAGAACCTCAGTGAACTTAGGGAGGGCCTCAAGAGCATAAAAAACTACCAGTCAGAAACGATCGCTGCACAGTTAGAAACGAAGGAGGCTTTAACTGAAATAAAGAATAATTTACATAGCTTCAATAATAGAGTACGTAAATCCAAGGAGCAAACCATCGATTTGGAATATAAGAGAGCAGAAAATGCCCAATCAGAACAGCAAAAAGAAAAAAGAATCTAAAAAAAATGAGGATAGTGTAAGGAGCCTCTGGGACAACTTCAAGCGTGCCAACATTCGCATCTTGGGGGTGCCCGAAGGAGAAGAGAGAGAACAAGAAATCGAAAACCTGTTTGAAACAATAATGGCAGAAAACTTTCCTAACTTGGTGAAGGAAACAGACATACAAGTCCAGGAAGCACAGAGAGTCCCAAACAAGATGAACCCCAAGAGGCACACACCAAGACACATCATCATCAAAATGCAAAAGGTTCAAGACAAAGAGAGAATCTTAAAAGCAGCAAGAGAAAGGCAGCGAGTTACCTACAAGGGAGTTCCCATTAGGCTGTCAGCTGATTTCTCAAAAGAAACTTTGCAGGCCAGAAGGGAGTGGCAAGAAATATTCAGAGTGATGAAAACCAAGAACCTACAACCAAAATTACTCTATCCTGCAAAGCTGTCATTTAGAATTGATGGACATATAAAAACTTTCCCAGACAAGAAAAAGTTAAAGGAGTTCATCACCACCAAACCATTATATGAAATGATGAAGGGTCTTTTTGAAGAAAAAGATAAAATGTATGAACAAACAAAATGGCAATGAATACATATCTATCAACAATGGAATCTACAAACAAAATGAACAGGAATAACAGAAACATTCTCATAGACACAGAGAACATTTTGTTGGTTGCCAGTTGGGAAGGGGGTTGGGGAAATGGGTGAAAAAGGTGAAGGGATAAAGAAGTACAAATTCATTGCTAGACTGACAAACCTCAAAGGGAAAGGGGTTGGGGGGTGGGAAGAAATAAACCAAAGAACTTATATGCATAACCAATGGACACAGACAATAGTGTGGGAAAAGGTGGGAGGGGGGCGGGAGGGGGGAGGAGAGGGTCAATGGGGGAAAAATGTGGAACATCTGTAATACAATTTACATCCAACAATAAAGATTTGGGAAAAATAAATAAATAAATAAAAACAGCATGGTACTGGCATTAAAATAGGCATATAGATCAATGGAACAAAACAGAGAACCCTGAAATACATCCACACATATATGGCCAATTAATATACAACAAAGAAGCCAAAAATATACAATAAGAAAAGAACAGTCTTTTCAGTAAATGGTGTTGGAAAAATTAAACAGCCACATGCAAAAGAATGAAACCGGACCACAATTTTACACCATGCACAAAAATTAGCTCAAAATAAATGAAAGACATAAACGTAGAACCTGAAACCATAAAACTCCTAGAAGGAAATATAGGTGTAAACTCCTTGATATAGATCTCGACGATAATTCTTTTGAATCTGACCCCAAAGCAAGAGCAACAGAAACAAAAATAAACAGTGGAATTACATCAAACTAAAAAGCTTCTGCACACACACAAAAGAAGCCATCAACAAAAGTCAGCAATCTACCAAATGGAGAAAATATTTAAAAATCATATATCTAGTAAAGAGTTAATATCCAAAAAAAACTCAGACAACTCAATAGCAAAACAACAACAACAACAATCCTATTTAAAAATGGGAAAAATATCTGAATAGACATTTCCCAAAGAACACGTACATATGGACAGCAGGTACATGGAAAGATACTCTACATCATTAATCATCAAAAAATGCAAATCAAAACCACAATGGTATAATCCATACCAAAAATATTATATAGCAATGAAAAATAAAGAATTACTGTCAAGGACTGACATAGAAAGATTTTCAACATATTTTTAAACATGGAGAAAAATAGAGTATAATACTATTTTTGCAAAAATAAGAAAAAAAACAATATTATGCATATTTCCAAGTTAACAAATATATTATAAAAATGGACAGAATAGCCTTGGCCAGTTTGGCTCAGCGGTTAGAGCGTCAGCCTGTGGTCCAGAGAGACCCGGGCTCGTTCCCACTAAGAGCACGTACCTTGGTTGCAGCTTGTCCCTGGGTGGTGCGGGTGGCAGCCACTCAATGTGTTACCTTTCACGTCAATGTTTCTCTCTCTCTCTCTCTCTCTCTCTCTCTCTCTCTCTCTCCTCTCCCCTCTCTCTCCCTCCCGCTCTATCTGAACAAAAAATGAAAAAAATGTCCTCAGGTGAGGATTAAAAAAAAAAAATAGACAGAATAAAAAGGATACCCATCATGTTAATAATGTTGTTAAATTTGGAAAGACACTGGGTTTGGTAGGAAATGTGATCAAAGATTTTAATATTCTTAGTATTTTAATTCACTTCAAGAATAATGTATTAATTTGGAACTATATATGAATTTAGAAATAAACATTATTTTTTAAAAATTGCTTTCTGAATGTACCAATTTCTATTGTAAAGATATATTTTTAACAATCAAGACCAAGTACTTTATACAATGAACAGATAGTATATCCAAATGGCTATGTGCATGTGAATGAATTAAACTGTAGCATAGTGAATATACGCTACTGGTACATATACACAATGGAATACTAGGCAGTTGTAAGAAAGAAGGATCTCTTACCCTTTGAGGAGACATGAAGGGACCTGGCAAATATTATGCTAAGCAAAATAAGCCAGTCAGAAAAAGGCAAGTATCACATGATTTCACTTATTTGTGGAATATAATGAACACAATAAGCTGTCGAACAAAATAGATCCAGAGACATGAAAGTAGGGAACAGACTGACAAACCTCAGAGGGAAGGGGAAGTGAGGGATGATAAGAAGAAAAAAAAACAAAAAACTTATATGCATTTATGCACAACCAATGGACACAGACAACAATGCGGTGAAGTAGGGGGAAGGGAGGGGAATGTCAATGGGGAAAGAAAAGGAGGGACATCTGTAATATTTTCAACAATAAAGATATATCAAAAATAAATAAATAAAGCTTTGGCCAAATTTACAGTTAATCAGTTTAACTATTGATTGACTTAGTCTTATTACGTTAATTTCAAGATTAAGGCAATTAAGTTCCATATAGATCAGGGTGTTCAAATGAAAACTTTTCTGTTTACTTCGGCAATTTTACCGTTTAAACCGTTTGGAACCTGGCAGATCAGAGACTTGCCTTGCTGGCTTCAGTCATAACAGACTTCATTACAGCACATTTTACTTGTTGATTTCCTGTAAACAACTACAGACCTAGAAGATTCCCGCAGCACCTCAGGCAGGTAAGTCATGAACAACTGAAATGTTTTATTTTAGCCAATCTGAAATTTTCTTTCTCTTCATTTCAATAAGTATTAACTACTGTTAACTATCATATCATAGTTTTCCTTATAAATATTATCATTTGCAATAAGAGCATTCGTTTATAAAAAAGTATAAATACATATTTTCCTTTTGGTTAATAGTTAAAAGGATTTTTAACCACGATATCGATCTAGAAACATCACCTATCTCACTTCATATTTTTGTGTTAAATAATTACTATTCAGGGAAAGGGGCAGGAATGGTACTTTATAACAAGAAGACACCTAAACTTAAAATGTTTATTGGAACAAGAAAAAGTTTTATGGTGAATTTTTTATAAAGATAGGTCTTATTTTTCCTTCAGAGAATAAATTTATTTATTTTGAATGAAATACATGAAACTTAGCCAGTCATTTCCCTTTTTCATCATAGCTAACGTAAATTTGTAACTTTTTACTTTCCCAGAAAAGATTTAATCGTGGGACACATCTTTCCTTCCTTTTTTTTTGTCTAGAAACCTAAGAATGAGAAAGGTTGTCTTCAGTGGTGTTTTTTTCTTATTCTTCCTCACAGGTGGTAAGTCATTAAGAAAGCATAAATCAAAACAAGCGAAAATTATCTAAGAAATTGCAGAATTACAATATAAGTGGTGTGTGGTCTTGAACAAGCTAATCAGGTTGCTTACAATAAGACCTGAGTAAGCAGGCCTCATAATATAATACAAGCTCACAAATAAAGTTATAAAATAGAATGGCATACTTTACAATTCATCATGTAAAGAAACTATTTATTTTACATGTAATCCAAAGCATTAAACTTAATTGTCAAATTAAAATATATCGTATGTTAAAAACCAACAATACATTTTAAGACAAAACGAGACTGAAAGGAAGTAAATGGGATCTGAGAATATATGAATAAGGATTCAGACCATTGAAAAATTAGCATCAGCACAAAGACCTAAAACTTACGGCATCTTTGTCATCATAGTAAAGAATGTGAGGCCAAGGTTGTAAGAAGAAAGTCATGGGTGTTGGGCGTGGAATCAGAGGGAAGAGGGAAAGAAGACAGTGATATCAGGAGTTTTGGTAGCTCCAATGACCTGGTGTGGTCACTAAGGACAAGGGTTTGGGATTCCAACAGACCTTTTAAAACTCCAGCTCTTCCTCTTGAGCAAAGTGCTTAAAATCTTGAGGCCTCGGTTTTCTTTTATTTGAGATGTGAGCAATTATAACACCTGCTGGAAAGGTTATCATGGGAAGTAATTGGACTAATTGGCTTATCAATTGACATAAATTTAGTTCCTAAAAGATATTTGTTGACTGATACTTGATTATGGATTGAAAGTCTATCATGCTTAGTGAGAAAACCAATGTGAAATTTCCAAATTGTCTTGAGTTGAGGTTGAAATTAGAGAGAATAGTTGAGAGGTTAATTAGCCTCATCAAACAGATTATTTTCTATTAAAATTGATCTCTTCTAATCCCCAACAGCACAGAGGGAGATACAAACTACATTGCACACAATGTCTAGTAAACTCTCCTTTGGGGTTATCAATGAACAGTAGTGATATGGCAATGGTCTTCACATATTAAAAGATGGGAACTATGAACACTAAGACAACTTTTTGCTGAATTTCAGAAGAATCTTTTAATAATTTAAGCTGGTTTTAATATTGATGAGCTCTCCATCACTAGCCAAGGATCCTTTGCAGGAGTTATCATAACGGAGATTCCTGAATCAGTAGAACCAGTGGTTTTCAAACACTGGTCCTAATACCTATGTCTAAATCACATGACTTCTCTGTTTCTGCATGTCTAAAGAATAGATTCCTGGGCCCTACCTCCTATACTTTCTAACCGGGGGGAGGGAGCTTCCTCTGGGAATCTGTGTTTATTTAACTGCTTAAGTAAATCTAATTCACAAATTTGGAAAAAGGTCTTCTAGATATCTCCCATTCTTATCTAGTCGACCAAGTTTAAGAATTTCTGGGCTATTTCTACATAACCACAATGAATAACATTTTTGACCCATTGAATTTGAGTACTTAATTACCAGTATAGCCCAGCTGGAGTGGCTCAGTGAATTAAGTGTCATCCCATGGTCTCAGGCCACATGGCCAGGTTGCGGGCTCGATCCCCAGTAGGGGCCATGCAGGAGGCAGCTGACTGATGTTTCTCTCTCATCAATGTTTCTCTCTTTCCCTTCCTCTGTCTCTAAAAAAATCAATAAAACCATATTTTAAAAACCAATATATAAACATGAATCAAGCAATAAATATTCACAAAAAAATGTATTATGTATAATGTACTGCTTTAGACATTGAAAGAAAGACCTTATAGTGAGTATATGGCTGAAGTTAATTTTTCTTGCTAAATAACTTTGAATTGATTTAATTAGGCACCGAGGAACTGCATACATTTTAACTGACAAGTTGTTTAGACCACCTGGCCTCATTTCTAATTAGCATCAGTTCAGAGTATTTCCAATTCATGAATGTAGCATATGTGAAATCAAATTTTTCCTTACTTTTTGAAGTTGAAAATCACTGCTTTATTTTTGGATCTCTCTTTCTCCCCACACCCCTTTTTTTTTTTTTTTTTTTATCTCTGGTCGTCATCTGTTTTCCTCTTATATTTCTCTCCTGTGCTGGAGTTGGAACTGTGATCTGTAGAGCATGCAACCTTTCAATCCCCTTCCATGGATGTCTTGTAGACTTTGGAACCTGCAAAACAGAACCTGGTCAGTACTGTTTTAAAGAGGTCCTCACTAAAGGTAAGTTTTAACACCTAAACAAACAAACAAACAAAAAACCTCTTTAAAAATGAGCACATTCATTGAACATTTACCTGAATTATATCACACCAACAAAACAAAACAATGATATTGGCTGGATCTTGTCAGCTATCCCCATTTTTTAAACATGAGAAATAAAGAGATTTAACATTTTGCATGATGTTACAGAGCTAATGAATGTCGGACCCAAGACTCAAATACAAGTACTCTGACTTCCGAGTGCACATTCCTAAGGAATCTATGTACTGCCTCATTCACATTACCCACATCCTCACCAATAATCAATACATAATTTGCTAAGCACAGCTCTGTGCAACTGCACAGGTTGTAGGCCCAGGAAGCCAGCCTAAGAGCGAAATATAAAAGTCCAAATGAAGAAAACATTAGAAGAAAATATTGAAGAACATATTTTAAGCCTGAAAGAGAGGAGGCCTCTTTAGCATCCACAAGGCAAAAGTAAACAAAATGGTAGAAAAATGTGACTATATTTGTATTTTTAAATTGTAAAATAAATGACAACCCCAAAATTTAAAAGATAAAGAATAACCTGGATGAAAATGTTTGAAACATAAATAACAGAAAACATATTACTATGTACCCAGAATAAAGAACATCCAAAAAACAAATTTTAAAAAGACCGACAGAAAAAGAAAAATTTAAACTTGTTAAAGGAATTGTAAAGGCAATTTTCAAAGAAGGAAATATAAATGACCTAACCTAAAAACATAAAAATCTGCTCAACTCATCAGTAAATAACAAAAAAAAAGTGAATTACAGAAATAATATATTTTTAACCCATCAGAGTAGCAAAAATTATAAAAGTTTTATAATATCAGGGTATAGTGACAGCATGAAGAAATGGGAACTCATATATTTCAAGAACAGTTGAGATTGGCTTAGCATTTTATTTTTTTAAGGCTGAACCATATTCTTTATTTCCTTCTTTCTCTTTTTAATTTCAGTTCCAATGTCATCTCACGTAGACATCTTCCCTGACCTCCCTACACCAGGTCATCTTTCTACACCGTAGGCACACTTCCCACTGTGAACTTCTTTGTAGCACCTTGCCCAACCCAAACAGTAATCAAATAATTACTAGTGCAGTTAGCGGTGTGACCTGTTTTTCCCTCTCTGGAATGTGAGCTTCATGAAGGCTGAGGCCACATTTGTGCTGTTATTATTGGCTCTCCACTGCCCAGCACAGTGCCCTGCACATAGCAGGTGCCCAGTAAACACAGACACGTGGATCCCACATTAAGCATACAATAACGTTTTCACGGTACTAAAAATATGAATACACTGAACTATTTGGCAAGTCAGGATCTTTCTTTCTCATTTAACTATTCTTTAGTTTATCTATCCCCTACAATACACAAGGCTTTTCCAAGCACTGGGAACACAGTGGTGATAAAACAGACATCAGCCTGGTCCTCGAAAACAAAGCTCACTGTCTAGGATGGACAGCCCCGCAGCGGAGCTCTGGAGATTGAGACCTTGTGTGAACGTGGCACAGGGTGAGTGTCCTGTTCTCTGAGGCTGGCACCTGGCTTGGAGGCCACCTGTTGGCTTAGCATTTTAAACAACCTCGTTAAAACTGTAAATGAGCACAGCCTTCTGGAAAGGAATTCTATTTCCTGGTATCTACTGCAGAGAAATAGTTACATGTAACACAAAAAGGCACATATCAAGGTTATCATTGCAACTTTATATTTAATAGCAAAGTGATGGAAATAATCTACATGTTTGTCTATAGGTGTTACTTAAAACTATGATACATTCACACCATGAAATGCTAGAAAACACAACACTTAGAATGTATTAGATCCTTTTGTTAAGGTGGGAAAATCTCTAAAACATTGTTAAGTAGAAAAAAGTTGCAAAACAGTACGTATAGTATACTACTTATGAATAGAAATTTCCACAAAGCAAAACTCTACATTTCTCTGTGAATTGGAAGAGGAGAATAAATATTAGAGGAGATCAAAGTTAGTTGGAAGAAAGGAATAGAATCTGGGGGTCGGAGAAGAGCGAGAACAAGAAATCGAAAACCTGTTTGAAACAATAATGGCAGAAAACTTCCCTAACTTGGTGAAGGAAACAGACATACAAGTCCAGGAAGCACAGAGAGTCCCAAACAAGATGAACCCCAAGAGGCCCACACCAAGACACATCATCATCAAAATGCAAAAGGTTCAAGACAAAGAGAGAATCTTAAAAGCAGCAAGAGAAAGGCAGCTAGTTACCTATAAGGGAGTTCCCATAAGGCTGTCAGCTGATTTCTCAAAAGAAACTTTGCAGGCCAGAAGGGAGTGGCAAGAAATATGCAGAGTGATGAAAAGCAAGAACCTACAACCAAGTTTACTCTATCCTGCAAAGCTGTCATATAGAATCGATGGCCATATAAAGACTTTCCTAGACAAGAAAAAGTTAAAGGAGTTCATCACCACCAAACCGTTATTATATGAAATGATGAAGGGTCTTTTTGAAGAAAAAGATAAAATGTATGAACAAACAAAATGGCAATGAATACATATCTATCAACAATGGAATCTACAAACAAAATGAACAGGTAGAACAGAAACATTCTCATAGATACAGAGAACATTTTGTTGGTTGCCAGTTGGGAGGGGGGTTGGGGGAATGGGTGAAAAAGGTGAAGAGATTAAGAAGTACAAATTCATTGCTAGACTGACAAACCTCAAAGGGAAAGGGGTTGGGGGGGTGGGAAGAAATAAACCAAAGAACTTATATGCATAACCAATGGACACAGACAATAGTGTGGGAAAAGGTGGGAGGGGGGCGGGAGTGGGGAGGAGGGGGGTCAATGGGGGAAAAATGTGGAACATCTGTAATACATTTTACATCCAACAATAAAGATTTTTTTAAAAATTAAAAAAAAAAAGAATCTGGGGGTCATGTCTGCTGGGGTTTAGGGATTAAGATGACTTGAGTTTTGTTCAACCTGTCTAACCTAGGTCTCTAAGCCCTGACAGAGTTCCCTGTGACTTGCACCTCTGCCAGGCAGGGCCCCTCCCTTTTGAAGGAGAAAGGAGCAAGGCCTCTTAGAGCACCCCATCCCCCTCCATGCGCCACTTCCTGAGTGTGGAGAGACAGTCATCTAGTCAGCTTGACATCAAAACAAGTGTTAAAGGATGCTGCGCAGAAGAGCCTGGAAGCTTATACAGCACCATATTGACAATAGTTCTTGGTGGGTCAAGGACCTAGAATGACTACAATGTTGTGGGAAGAACAGTTTCTTAACTTGGAAATGTCGCCATGTCACAATGATGTGAAACAAAAAGAACTAGAATTTACCCTGTTGACAATTTGATCAGTAGGATTTCTCATTGTTGATACTGTTGACACTGGCAGGATAATTATGTGTTATGCAGGGCTATCTTGTATATTGTAGGATGTTTATTTAGCATATCCCTGGCCTCTACCCACTACCAGATAGTAATATCTTCCAAGTCAAAACAACAAAAATGTCTCTGGGCATCACCTACTGTCCTGGGGGTAGGAGAGCAAAACCACCCCCAGCCGAGAAACTACTGTTGGCTCAAGTTTCCAACCACCATGCATTTTGCTGCCTTTGGGGAACTGCTCTTCTGTGTTCTCCCAACTGAAGCTGGATGCAGGGTACAGGACACTACATCACTTACTTTGCACTATGCGTATTTTTCACATTTTCTACAGTGAACATGCATTATTTCTATAATCAGGGGGAGAGTTAAGTGAGGTCAAGGACACACCTTTTTTTTAAAAGATTTTTTAAAATTGATTTTTAGAGCCCAGCCGGTGTGGCTCAGTGGTTGAGCATTGACCCATGCTCCAAGAGGTCGCCGGTTCAATTCCCGGTCAGGGCACATGCCCAGGTTGTGGGTCCAATCCCCAGTGGGGGGCATGCAGGAGGCAGCCAATCGATGTTCTCTCTCATCGAAGTTTCTTTCTATTTCTCCCTCTCCCTTCCTCTCTCTCTAAAATCAATAAAGAAAATAAATAAATAAATAAATAAATAAATAAAAATAGGTTTTTAGAGAGAGAGGAAGGGAGAGGGAGAGAAAAACATGGATGTAAGAGGGTAACATATGCCCTGGCCAGTTTGGCTCAGCGGTTAGAGCGTCGGCCTGCAGTACAGAGAGACCCGGGTTCGGTTCCCACTAAGGGCATGTACCTCGGTTGCAGTTTGTCCCCGGCCCTGGTTGGTCGTGCGGGTGGCAACCACTCGATGTGTCCCTTCATGTCGATGTTTCTCTCTCTCTCTCTTCCTCTCTCTCCCTCCCTCTCTGTCTGAACAACAACAACAAAAAAATGCAAAAATGTCCTCGGGTGAGGATAAAAAAAAAAAAGAGGGTAACATATACAATTGCCTCCTGCACGCCCCCTAACTGGAATGGAGCCTGCAACCGCCAGGTACATGGGGATGATGCCCAACCAATGAGCCACAGCAGCCCGGGCCACACCTCATTTTTGAGAAACATTTACACATGTAAGTAATCCTTCTAAGGATTCAGCTCTTTGATTAATTCATGACCTAAGATAAACTGAGGGGTGATATTAGGAAGGTTCCAAACAGCTAACAACTCAACACAGTCATCTGGCAACTGAATGGCTTTTATCATCTGAGTTTGAAAGCTAGTTTGTTTTCACAACATCAATGCTTTTGTATCGCAATGTACCCAACTAGAATACTTTTAGGTGGGAGTTCTAACAGGCAAGGTGATTGTATCTTGATAAATTTTGCTTTGCATTTCTTTCTTTCTTTTTTCCCCCCACCTATTATCTGGAGCCAGGTAGGTTCTACCTTGCATTGGATTTCTCTGCCTCAACCTCTTTGTTCCCCTCAGGTGGAATTAAGTGGTTTTCAGTTAAAGGCTGTACGAACACCCAAGCTGACTGCTTCAAGAGAACCATGAAACATTATCAAATTTTGTCCGTTCACTGCTGCCGTTATCCTTTGTGCAACTTCTGAGCTGGTGGCCCCTATCCAAATTGCTTGACTGATCCAGTCAGTCTCAAAGTCTGGCCTGGTCATCACAAGACAACAGCTACTGTTCATCAACCCTCTGCAAAAACCTCAGGTCATTGCAGGTTGTAAGGTGTTATGGTCTGAAACCAACTTCAGCTTTCAAGGTGACCAACTTCTCCCTGATCAACTCCAACTCATCTCAGAAGCATCCTTTCCAATACCATCTCTCTGCTTAATTCTCCTTCTGATGATTTCAGGACTACAAAGAAGTAAAAATGCGAATGATCCCCTGAGCCAAACTACATCATCTCTAGTTTACTAATTTTCCGATATATTTCCTTAGTTCCTAACATAGTTCCGATATATTTCCATAGTTCCTAACGAATGAACTGTATCACAAGATAACAAATGACCTAGAAGTTCATTTGGTTTCCAAAGAAAACTGCCTTGCTCTTTTGGGGGATTTATGGTATGAAAGGAACCGACTCAACAAATACCATAGGAAAAAGAAGTCATAGATCAGCAGACTAGGCCTGAGAGAACTATGACCCCCAAACAGCAAAGGGCTCAAGCAGGTGCAAAGGTGGACACTTATTCCTCCCATCTGCATTAGGATTTGTCCAAATTCTGGATTTCCACACCTTAACCATGCCTAAGTATGCCAGCTTGTCTAATTTGGGCAGATTAAGCAGTTCAGTCCAAGCAGGGGAATAGGTTCCCATCCACAAAGAATTGGTGGGGTTTTTTAATTGCCCTTCACATTTTTTAACATGCCATATAGTTCTTCTCATTCAATTCCCTGCTTATGTAACTTTAGGATTATTGTATTTTAAAAGTTCAAGTTGTTTTTCTCTGTATCTGCAGGAGTTTGAGAAATTCAAATAGTAAATAATAAATCTTAATAAAACTCTTTGTTGTGTTTTTCTCAGAACCTATTGTTCTCACACATAGTAGGGCCCTCAATAGGTACTTTTCTGTAACTTTCAAAGAAAAGCAAGCACTACACAAGAGGCCAAAGGAAATTAGACATTTTCCTCCACACTCTTTTCAACTACACTTCTTAGTCCATTTTTTATTAACTCACTAGGAAAAATAGTTTCTTCATCCTAAGATTTAAACCCATTTGTCATTATCCTGTCACTTTTATGCATCATCCACAGTGGTACACAGTCGTTACCCCAAATCAGGGAACTTCATGGAGAGTTTACTTTTAGTTTTTTTTTGTTTTCTTAAATACAACCTTATTTACCCAATATCACAGGAGGAAATATATCAACATCAGATAATTGGTGACTAACTCCATAGAGCTTCACAAACTTAATGTGCAATCCTCGGGATGTAATAAGAGAATTGGGAAGCAGGGGCTAGTTTTTCGTGTCACTAGCTATTTGTTCACCTTGGCCAGTCCCTTTGGTGTCTCTTCACCTCATTCTCCTCACATATAAATTGAAAAGGACTAGATCACATGATCTCACAGATCCCTTCAAATCCTAAGGTTTTATGGCTGGACACGGACTAACACCTCTTTGCTGTTGTTTTCTTAGATTTCAAAATAAGAGTTGATGCTGAATACGGCCCATGAAATAGGCCCTGGTGGTTACGATGCATGCTCACCTAGCTCTGTGTAATGTGGGAACGTGAAAGGAGGAAGGCAAGCCAGGACAGGAGTGACTGTCACCGAAACAGGTCAGGGGCCTGCCAATTTCTCCTAAAAATCACCATGAGAACAAAAAATAACTTTCCCATCCTCGGTGCAGTAGGTTGAGTGATGCCCCCACACCCCCAAAGATGTTCATGTTCTAATCACTGGAAGCTGTAAATATGTTACTTTACAAGGGATTTTGCAGATAGGCTTAAATTAAGGATGTTAAGATGAGGAGACTATGCTGAATTACCCCAGTGGGCTCAATGTAACCACAAGAGTCTTTACAAGAAGGAAGCAGGGGGGTCAAAGGGAGATTTGAAGATGCTAAGCAGTTGGCTTTGAAGATGGGAGAAAGGGTTCACAAGCCAAGGAGTGTGGAAAACTTCTAGAAGCTGAAAAAGTCAAGGAAACAGGGTGTCCACTAGAGCTTCGGAGAAGAATGCAGCCCTGCAGACACGTTTTAGACTTGTGGCCTCCAGAATGGCAACGTAATGGATTTGGTTTCTTTTTAAATTTAGATATAATTGACCTATAGCATTCTATTAGTTTTACACGTACAACAGGATTATTTGAAGTGATTACCACAATAAGTCTAGTTAACATCCATCACTATATTTAGTTACAGACTTTTTTTTTTTGCTTTCTTTTAACATGGCAATTTGTTATCATAGCCATGGGAAACAAATACACTTGATCATGCAAGAGAGGGGTGGTGAGGCATTTTCTCTCCCCCAAGGTTGACACATCCAACATTTGGTTTACGCGGGATCTGATTTCAAGAGGCACCTACGAGTCATATTGTCTTCCTTTCATTGTAACAATCTCTCAATCCTCATTTCCCTAGAAACACACAGATGGTCTGCAGACATGCACTCACATCTTATTAGTTTACACCTCCCACTCAAGCCCCATCCATTCAAGATTCCTTTGGCTAACAGATTTATTATTTTCCTGTCTCTCACACCTAAAGACAAAGTGATACCTGATTTATAAGACATCAGACTGAAGGGCTAATGGATCTGGGGTCCTGCCTTGATCCCCTGAGTATCAGGTTGGCTTTCTTGTTGATTATGTGTGTGTTGCAACTGAAATAGAAACCGCGAGGGTTCATGCCCCTTAATTCATTTAAAAGACAAGTTTTTGCCATCAACAAATGAGGGCATCTGGAAGAAGTAGCTGGGAAGAGACTAAAATGATTCTATTAGCGAAGGAGAGATGGAACGTTTTGCCTGCTGGCACTCAGTCACACGGCTTTCTGAGGCTGCAGAGCACACACGTTTTATAACTGATGTGGCCATTGCTGCCTTCCCTACTCTGTGGACGGGGAGGCTATGCCCCGGAGCTGACAGGTGGAAGCCTGGGAACTTTTGGTGGCATACCATGTGCTCTTCGCTCCACCACCAATGCCAGCCCTTAGGAGAACCACATGGTGGGCAAGAAGCTGTGGGATGGTGAGGCCCCAGCTCCTTAGCATAAGCTTGAACTGTCTGAGAAATGAGACGGGGTCCTTGAAAGAAGCACAGGAGCAAAGAAATAGAAGGGAATGGGATGGTTGATGACTGACCACTGAGCTCAGCGGCAACTCTGAGTCTGGCCAAGGACTTGGGCAAGAAAGAAATATTCAGCTAGATGATGATGGAGAAAAGTCTGGAGTCCTCAATGTTGCAGGCTACAGGAGCCATCTTTAATTTTTTTTTTATTTTCTGCATTGAAGAATTTCCTGGGCTAATACCTTTATGGCTCAAACTGCAGGCTGATGTACAACGCGGGAGACGAGGTAAAACACCCACCTCTCTGGGGAGATCTGGGGCCATCTCAGCACTGTCTGTCCAAAGTGTTTCACATTGTCTCTCCCGGGAGCTGATCCATATGGCTGCAAATCCTACAAGTGAAGGCGTTAAAGGTGTCTGTGCCTGCTGGTGGGCACATGTCTCCTGTCTTGCATGGTCTCTGTAGATCATCACTAGCAAGTATGCTGTAACCTCTTTTGGCTGAACCTCAAATCCTAATACTCCAATCTATCCCTCCCATAACTTACTAGTGTGAGTATATTTTCTACCTTCTCATCCTCACACATTCTGAATAAAGTTAATAGATGTGCCCTCATAAATTATTGTGTAGAATGGAACCTCCAGGCAGAGCTGTAACTAGCAATTTTGGAGCCAGGGCAAGCATAAAACATGCCCTCAAATTAACTTTGTAATTTATGTCTTGGCTCACATATGGGTGTTATTGATGATACTTACCATCGGGAAGCTTCCTCGTTTAACAAATTATTCTTCCTAACTAGGTGTTAAGCTCAGTGATACTATGTGCGTGTGCTAATGAATTAATTGCATAATCCTTTAAAAAAACAAAAAACTGGCACACTGTAAATTTCAGAGATGTGGGCAAAAATGTGATGGCCAGACCAAGATACAGCGCTGATTATGGAGAGGAAAGATAGAGAAAGAAAGAGTCAATGACAGTAGAAATGTGAAGCACATTGGACCCATTAATTCAAATATTTATGGAGCAATTCTCACATGTCAGGCATAATGGAGGTGATGAGGGTACAACCGTGAATAATTTATGGGGCAAGGGAAGCCTGAACAATCACTTTATTATTATCCAGGCGGTAGGACTGACTAGACTCCACCAGGCAATTCTCGCTGAAGGTTTCTCACGGAATTAGTCAGAGAGCTGGGGGCTGAAACAGGTGGGGCTCATCCAGTGTCCCTGTCTCAGCACGATCTTTCCACGGGGTGTCTCTGACTTGGCAGCTTCAAGGCAGCCTGACCTCTTACATGGCAGCTCAGGGTCCCAAGAGAAAGAAGGCCAGACAGAAGTTATACTGACTTTTATTACTTATCTTCAAAAGTCACACATGTCACTTCCACTGGACTGTTGGTTGAGGCAGCCACAAAGGCCCACACAGGTTCATGGGGAGAGTGTAGAGACACCACCACTTTTTTTTCCAATGGATTTTAGAGAGGAAAGGGAGAGGGAGAGAGAGAAATAACGATGTGAAAGAGAAACATCAATCGGTTGCCTCCCATACGTACCCCGACCAGGGATCAAACCCACAACCTACGTGCACTGACCAGGAATCAAACCCATGACCTTTCAGTGCTCAGGATGATGCTCCAACCAAGTGAGCCACACCGGCCAGGGTGAGACACCACGTCTCGACGGGGAAGTACTAAGTTCCTGGGAAAAGATGAGACCTAAAATGTGGTTGAGGACAATATTTTAAAAAATATAATCTACCACAGCATCCATGAATTTCACCAGCTTGTCAAATAGCTCTCTGGTGTCAAAAAAAAAAAAAAGAATAAAGACCCCCCTGCCCTTCAAGAACCTCATCATAACAGAAGTT